CCTGCATCCAGCCCCTGCACAAGCGGTAGAGGTAGACTGTGGGAGAGGCCCACCGCATGGATGGAGTGACGGGAGCGGCAGCAGAGGCCTGTGAGCTGTCCTTGACAGACCAGTCACAAATGTCTCCTGTCTTTGGAGCCATCTTCTAAAATTCAGAGACGTTCCAGTTAATCTATTTAACCTCTGCTCTCTGTGCGAGAGGATATCCCTGTTTCTCCCTGGGTGAGCATCTTGGATACTTTGTGAACCTGATTGGGAAGAAACATGGATGTCAGTGAATTTTCAGAAGGATTTGTCTGGCAAGGGGCTATGACTCCTTTGAGAATCCAGGCCTGACTTCTCTTGCCATTTGCTCCGTCTGCTTGTGCACCCAGTAATCATTCATGGCAGGCAGGAGACACTTGTCTGACACATCCCCTGCCAAGTGAGATGGCTCTTATCCGTGGGGGGTCCACACGTGGGGTGGGCAGCACAGTTTGGAAAGGAAGTAATGACCAAGTGAAAACTTGGGATTATTCTGTTCATCTGTAATAGTGGATCTATTGGTTATGTTACTTCATACACAGTGTGAATGTGGACGGATAAACTAGAGCTGTGCCCATCATTCATTATGTTAAGAAATTTTAAAATAATTATGAAACATTTTACTTATCTTGATTTGTCTTTATTTGTATTTTTCTGGTTATTAGACTAATATGTGCACATTAAAAAATATATTTGGGTGTGTAACTATGAAGTGCAAGTACTCTCTATCCTCACCTCTCTGGGGTCACCATGGCTAGCAGCTTGGTGAACATTCAATATATTGCCTTCTGTTTGCATATATTGGCCTACTCTGCTTTTAAAAAATGTGAACATTCTACTCCCACTCTTGGGCAACTCACCATTTCACTTACCAGCATATTTTGTCTTTGACTCTCTTACCAGCATATTGTGGACATGTGACATGTCCGGCACACGTAGATCAGTCTCGCTGTTGACAGTGGCATCATTCCAGCATGTAGCTGCCTAGCATTTATTTCATGGCTCCTCTAGTGAGGGCATATGGGGGTTCCACTCTGTTCTGTCGCCACAGTGCCTCATCACTGTCCTCGGTCACCTCTGCCCTGCCGAGACTCATTCTAGGATGTGTTGTTGGAAGTAGAGTGGTTGGGTCAAAGACTGGGGACATTTAAACTTTTAATACATTGCTAACTTAGTTTGCCAAAAGATTTTTACCAATGTATGTTATTGCAGTTATACAGAAATACTACTATTTTCTTACCTGCTTGCCAACACTGTACATTTATTAATTTTTAAAACTTTCCCGGTCTGTATAGCAGAAGTAGATTATTATATCATTGCTTTTTTGTTTTGTATTTAGTGAGGTTTGGCAAATTTTCAAGTTTATTGGATATTTGTATTATTCTTGTTTCACCATTTTACTACTGAATTGTCAATCTTTCTATTTTAGGGAAATTAAACTTTGTCTTGAGTTGTAGATGTTTTCCTAGTTTGTCTTTACAAACTCATTTTTTCTTAACTACTACACAAAAGTTTAATGTTACTCACATTTCATTTTTATTTTAAGAAATCTGAATTTTATGTCATGGCTAGAAAAGCTTTCCTCATGCCAGCATTATAAATTATTCACTCCCATTTCCTGTTCTGGCAGTTCTTGGGTAGTTAATTTTCTGAATTATTGTGGGTCTCAAAATGTTTTGCTCTGCTCATTGGCTGTGAGTGATTATGGTACCTTAGAAAGTGAGTGGTGACATGGCTGTGGTGTGTGGGCTAGAGCCATGGTGACTGAGTGAATGGGAAGGAGCTGCACTGAACTTGGCCTGCACCCTGGCTGGACGTGAGAGTTATGTTAAAACCTGGGCCCAGAAATGGGGTGGGCGGACTTGGACAGGACACTGACACACAGTTCTGTTGACTCTGCCTGTCTGGTCTGTGATATCCCCAGTTAACTGAATGTCTACAGACTTGGCTAGAATAAGGGCCAAAGGAGTGAGGAGCTAGATGGAGTCAACTGCTAAATCCATTTGTACTGCGGGGAGAGAAGAAACCTAACACTAAGAAAGACTGCAAACATCAATAAATTAAATTGACCCCAGATAAAATTAATTTTATGGAATGGTCTGATAAAAGACTTTACATATGTTTGTGTGCTCAAAGAGAAAAATACATTCACTAAAAAGCAAGAGCCCTGGCCAGTGTGGCTTGGTTGAGCAGCATCCCATGCACCGAAAAGTCCCCAGTTCTATTCCCAGTCAGGGCACATGCATAGGTTGCAGGTTTGTTCCCTGGTCAGGGTGCCTATAGGAAGCAACCCAGTGTTTCTGTCATCGATGTTTCTGTCCCTCTCCCTTCCTCTCAATAAATCAATAAACTTTTAAATAAATATATATTTAAGTTACACACACACACACACTAGTGGCCCAGTGCACAAAATTCATGCACATTAAAGGGAATTAATTAGCAGAAATATTTTAATATTGCTATTTGCCCTTTCTCTATAATAGAAGTGTCAGAGATGAAAGAAAATTAGTAAAATGTGTATGAAAATCTCCTTCCTGTCAGAGTCTGGGGCACGCCACAGGACCCAGAGTTGAGTACCCGCCCACCCACGTGCACCTTGAAATCGTGCAAGACCCAGACCTGACAGGCCCCAGTCCCGTCAAACCCCATAGGGCGGGTGCGGCCTCAAGTCCCCAGCCCTGGCACAAGGGCGCGAGGGTGTGGTGACCATTTGCATATTAGCTCTTTATTATATAGGATAGTCAATACCACATCCCTGCAGGATTCGCAGAGATTGGTGCCGCCATCAAACATGAATTATGCAGGGGTGGATGTTTTCTTCCTAGTCCTATTTATTCACCATCCGAGTCATGGGGAATGACAGTAGTTTATTGCAAATGTAATCAAATGGTAATGCCAACCTGTGTATTCAGATGTGGTATCTTCGCTGGATCAAAGCAATATAGTCCTCAGCCAACATCGAGGGGGGGAAAAAAGACACGGTTTGGTGGAACTCTTGATTAACATTTGGGAGTGCTGCTGCAACCAATCCTATATAATAAAACCCTAATATGCAAATTGACCAAACGGCAGAAGGACCAGTCGCTATTATGCACACTGACCACCAGGGGACTGATGCTCAATGCAGGAGCTGCCCCCTGGTGGTCAATGTGCTCCCACAGTGGGAGTACCGCTCAGCTGACCGACCCATTCAAGCGGCCTACCAGCTCCGGAGCAGCCACTCCCTCAGTAGTCCTGCAGGTCCCATCTCTGGAGAACGGGCCAGACACTGATGGGCCAGTGCCACCAGCCTGATCCCGACAGTGCCACTGGCCTCCTGGAAGTTGGCCTTGGGCACTGCAGCCACTTCTCCTCCTAGATGCTCTGCAAGGAGGAAATGATACAAAAGCAGCGTCCAAGTAGCTCCCGACAACCGGCACGAATGTCAGCGGGATGGATCCGGTTCCCAGGCTGGCAAGGGCATCCCACCACCCGCCTAGAGGGCCAATCGCATCCTGGCCCCACTACCTCCCTCAGGACGGGTGCCAGACGCAGGGCTCAGCTGGTGAGCGCCACTGCGGCCCAAGGCTCTCCCGATCAGTACTGACTGGGGCGTAAGCCCGCGGCAGGCACAGCAAGGCTGGGATGAGCAGGAGCGGCAGGCAGGAGCAGCAGGTGGCACTGGACTGTGGGTTTCAGCCAGATCCCCACAGGCCACCCCTAGGGACTCCACCCGTGCACGAACTCATGCACCAGCCCCCCCCCCCCCCAAATTAATTATTATAAAAAGCA